AATATATGAAAAATATATTTTTGGTATGACGTGAAATTTTTTTAATTTTAATAAGGGGTTAGATATTTTATCGAAATCTATATTGAACGATACTGGATGCACGTTAAGCGTTTTAATATTTCGTAAGGGTTGTGAAATTAAGGGATGATGCTGCGGAAAATAAAGAAGATGCATCATGCTATGCACAGCAGTGATGTAAATAAGGGTATAGCACGTGTAATGAGACATTTCGAAATTACTGAAGCCACCCTTAAAATTTGACAGTTATTGGAATATCAGTCTCAGGAATGATTACCTTCAAAATTTTCATTCGAAATCATCATCCACGGGAATCGGAACGTTCATACTGAAATATCAAATAGAACGAGTCACGTATTCACATATGATTACGTGTGAGTAAAGACACGTGACATCGAATTTGGTACATATGACAAATCCATATATTCCCTTATACCACTTGAAATATACAGGGTGTCCAATTAGGAGGTTAGTTACTTTAAAATAATAATTTCTACGACACCCGGTACACCGTAATATTGTTTCAATGATTTTAATGATGCATTTTACATACGTATAAAACTTTTTTTGAATTTTCTTTAAAAAAAGAAATCAACAAGTAAAATTTTTACTAGGTACAAGGGTTTCTATAAAGGTTGTGACTCATTATCGCGTTCATTTACCAAGTACAAGTGCGAATACGCAAGTGTCTTAATGATCTGGAGAAAAGTTGAAGTGCAGGTAGGAAAAAGCTGGATATCTAATAGCGTGAAATGCAATTCATCGTTGAATGCAGTTTGAGTGCACTTTTCTGACATCTCACTAATCCACGTGTTTCGTTACGTTTAATTGCATCGGGCTGCATTGCTGTCATTTTTTCTCTTATTTTTCACAAAACTCATTGACACTCGCCGAATGAATAATCTAAATTTTTCTCCCCTTTATATCCATATAAATTATTTTTTTCACGTAATTTTCCGAAAATCCGTAAATTCCTCAAGACAAAAATATATGAAATTTCAATATACTTCGTAAATCCGAAACTCACCAGGTATCACCTCCTTTATGATCTCACGATCCAATTCATTTTCCAGAATCCTGAGCTTGCTCCTTCGACGTGATCCGATTGGCTCCCAGCCAAGTGAATTCGAGTCAGGAGTCTTCCGCCTAAAATGAATGACTCGCGGTGAGAATCGTCACGTTATAATTAGACATTGTCCTGAGTAGGGGAGGTGACGTTGGGGAGGTGGGAGAGAGGGGGTGGAAAGCCCAAGTAACGTCCGTTAGACGTAGACGTCGTCACCCGTCAAAGAGGAAGAAGCTGTCGGCAATTTGTAAAAGAGGAACTCTGGTCGCGTCGGTTATAAACCGGAGGTCGACTTTTCCAAACTAAGTCCACTAGAAATCAGGTCAGACAAAGCACAGAGTGGTCTTACAATTAGACTTTAGTAACCCCACGAAGGATTTGACGAAACGAAGTCTTTTTTATGTCTTGGAATTTCAATAGTTAAATTATAATTTTTATATGAAAAATTATAATGAATAATATGCAAAATCAAATTTCAGAAAAAATTCAAACTTAATGTATACCCGTTATTAAATTAATAACGTAATAATCGGCCCCCATAATCGATCCACGGCCAAATAGCATAGATAGCACTGTAGTGTTTATACTGAAATTATTCGTTTCCAGCTGCGAAATATTCGGCCAGTGTAAACACAGCGGGCCAAGTTGGGCTTGCGTGTATTTCGTTTATTTGCGCGCCAGCTGATAGTCCTCAGGGATGTTTAGTCTTGGTCGGATAGTCTGAAGTAGAGCTTGTGGCTCGACGTTAGTAAAATTACGAATAAATATTTGAAGCGACGAACTTCAAGTTGCTGCCGTGAAAACAGTGTGTGCCTGGTTGTAGTCTGACTAAGTCATCGCCAGGAGTCGGGAACTCGTACAATTAGATAAATTGTTCTCTTGTTGGTTTGCTGGGCGACACAGGATTCTGAATAGATATTTATATTCGAATTGGAAACACGCGAACGTGTACTTAAAGGATACTCCACAATGAAATTTATGCACGATTACCCATCATGCATGTAGCGAGAATAAGAATTGACAGGATGCAAATTCTATTTTCAATTAAAATAAAAGTCGTGAATTTTATATTGGGCGCACATAAATGCATAAAAATTAATTTTATTATATTTTAATATATAAACATTGAATATTGACAAATCCAAAAATTAATTTTACAAGTAAAAATTATAATAATAATTTTTTAAGAGCCCGAAACGTTCCATGCAGTTGATTAAAAATTGATTTTTAAGTCTATTACTTTTTTCATAATATCTCAAGGTCTCTTATCTACGTCACTTATCTACGTCACGTATCGTCATACGTAATGGTATCCCGTGTGTAACTACCTTTACAGTGACTGTTATCAGACAGGATTGTTTTACGGTTAAGATCTGATATATCTGATATCGCAAAGCTAAACGACCAGAAATAAACCGGAAATGTATATACAGGTGGGATTTGGAGGTTATCACCAATCATTGTAAAATGGCCTCCTGATAGTCGCACCAGTCGTATAATAGTAGTTAGCATCCACGAAACTATGAAATACATTTACACGAATATCGAGTTGAGAATTTCTGGATACTAGTGAAATAGCTCTAAATGGTGATAAGGGGTGGTATCTTTAATCGGGGACCTTATTGGAAGCAATAGGATCGGTTCGGACTTGGTCTCGGCTGACCTCAGATTCTGAGTCGACCGGTTGACAGTGACCCGCAAAGATCCCCTACAGTTCTACAGGTACTGATATAACTTGTGATTATAGTGTTTGTGTAATAATGATTCAGATCAATGAAAATCGCATATTGAATTTCAAAGTGAACGAAATATATATACATATATAGCGCGAATAGTGGCTGGACGCATATCAGATTTGTAGCAGTTGGACGGTTGGGGCGGGTGAGCTTTCCTGAGCAGGGACGAAGTGGGGGTGGCGGTGTTACAGAAGCGGAACCGGAAATCAAAACGGAGTGTACAGTGACGTCATTAGGGTCAATTGTCGGATGCATGGTAATCAGACTCGTCTAGTTCATTCATATACATTATACGAAATGTAAAGCAACCGCGAATATGTTAAACGTGACTAACGGTGGGTTAAAATTGCAAAAAAAATTTTTTTTCAAAAAATTCACACTTGTAGTTGTCGCAATGCGAATGCTTGAACATTTTGAGCACCATGAGGGATAATCATGATGAGAAAGATATTAAAAGAAAATTTAATTAAAAAATTTTTCAAAATGGTAATTTGAGCTAGAAGGCAGTTTTATGTAAAACAGTATATTTTAAGGGTTTTGAAAAAAAATATACGAAAGGCTCGTTGACTCGGATTTTGGATTTCAGGTAATGTCATCCCAAACTGTATTTAGTTGGTGGTTACGCGAGAGCGTAAATCGTTGAGCGAAAAGAAAAAATTTTTTTTTGCCAACAATGTAATCTGCTCTTATTATTTCGCCAAGAATTATAGAGAATGTATAATAAATGTCTGCGCAATGATTAGATAAGACGAAGAATGTTCGGCGTTCCTTATTATAACGTGGCCATTATGTAAAATTTCTCGGTTGTCCGAGATAGCCGTGTTCTTTAACCGTTTGGATGGTTTCGGTTCTAAGGGATGAAAAAGAAAGTCGACGAGCGACGTATAATTTAAGGGTGTAAAACTTTGCAGTCGACCAAGATGGTATCTGCGGCTTGAAACGAGGCACGATACGAAAGCTGAAGATTGGGTCGGCAGGGGGTGTTGATAAAAAGGAAAAGGAAAAAAGAAAGAGTGAAAAAAGATATACAAACTGTACGCCATTTTGTGGCTTTATTACCCGTTTCCGGTTTCCGGCTTGGCAGATTAATCGCGGAGATTCTTACGCGCGCGTGGCCAATTTCGATTTTGAGTCACGATATCCCATGATTTATTATGCAACGTTTGACGAAATGGTCACAAGCCGGTCTCTGTGTATTTTATCGGATTTTTTTAGGTCAACATTTTTTTTTTTTTTTTTTTCATTCCTTTCGATATTGATTATTATAAAACGTCATTTTTGAAATACTCAGAATGCTTCGGGTGGGGGATGTAAAAAATTTGGATTTTGTTCATAACGATTATTTTCTCGGATTATAAACTTTGTATTGGGTGCAGGTAATCAAACCTGACCTAGCTTAACCTTACTGAAACCCAACAAGCGTGACCTACCCCAATTCAAGGCTTATCCAAGTACTCCGTAAATCGTAAGAGAAAAAAAATGATAGAAAATCTTATGCATAAAATAGAAGTTAAAGAAAATTCATTTTTACTCAAAATCCGTCAAGAGTTCGAACCAACTATTGATATAGTGAAAAAAATTAGTAAATTTTGTTTAAGATAAAAAAGACCAACATGGAAAAGCCATTGTCGTCCCGATGCCAATAAAAACATAGACATATATACATATACAGATAAATATATTCAAGAAATGCATCTTCTGCTTATTTCCCAAGATATCATCCGGTCCATAGCTTACCAACTTTTGCCAACAATAATAGCACGAATTGCACTTTTCAACATTACAGTCCGATAAGGAATGTCATATCCGTACCAAGATCGATTGCAGCCATTCGATTGGCCCGACGAAATCAAACAAATAATTTTGCACGAATAACATTTCTCGACTGTAGCCAAAAGAAGAATTAAGATAATAAAACCCATAAAAATATGAAAAAGACAGACTGCGATAACGGCGGCAGAGATTAGAATTCCTTGAAGCATATTCATGCAGGTGGGTATTTATGTACTGCGCACCGTGAAAAGTCGTCGCGACTCGCTGAATAAGCGCCGGTAATACGATGAAAATGCGGCTTTATGCTTTTCTCACGATATTCCATTATTTCGCTACATATAAGACACACACACACATATATATATATATGTATGTATATACTGATAAAATATATGTATAGAGCTGACTTGCATATAAATATTCACGCGTGTATGAACTTAGCATATGAGTTGTTAGAATCTCACCAAGAAACGGTTGATTTACTTGCATCCCACATAGTTCTATAGTTCAAACCATTTTTAGCGATAGTTCATAAAACTACCCCTAGAATCGAATATTTAAGGGATGAGATACGAACTTCGCATTTGACCTTCCAGCATCTCATGATATTTCGACTTCCAAAGCCATGAAAATATGTTTCCCACATAGTTCTATAAGATTCCCAACATTTTAGCTACAGTTCTACTACTTTAAGCGTAGAAAAAAATTTTAAGGCGTGAGGTTATGTATAACTCAAAAAATCGAAAAAGGGGAGATGTTGATCTTTAAATGTAAAATCTGGGCTCGATTATGGTCAGGATCAATAGTTCCAAAGTCTCTGCAAGATATAGTGAAAAGTTCTCGTCGCTAGCCCTCTCCGAATAATTATTAATAATTATTTATTTGATTATTATTATGACTCTTTATGTAATTCATATTTACATTTCACAACGGTGCAAAATAATTACCCTGTATACTACCTTGTATTAAGGTATACGTAATATTAGGTATACGAATTAATAAAATGATCGAATATTCCAATATTATTGTTATTCGTTAAGCATCGCCCCTGTTCGAATATAAATTCGATATAAAGAGATACTTTTAACCTGAGAGAAAAAAAAATTTTTTTCCAGAGCAAATAATAAAGAGAACGAACGAATGGGAAAAATGTATGACTGGTGTATAAGCAAAACGTATGGGGCAATTTTTCACGTGAAGTTGGCGTAATATCGATGCTTACGTAATACGTTCGAAACCATCTTTTCCGCTCGAGCGTCTTCGCTACACACAGCTGCCTCAACCCAGCTCCTACAAATAGTATCAATGGTACCGTAAATAATATAAAAAAAAAACGCAAAAATTGTTTGCTATAAAACCATCGTAAATAACACTGTCAGTCTTCATCCTTTCGCTCGATCTAATATTGAAAATCATCAATGTTAGATCGTTAACATACGAGGGGTCTTGAAGCCATGAATAAAATTGGATAAACATTCGTCGAAGCTCAAAAACGTAAATGCGGATTGGTATGAAATATTGTGTAAAAAAATTTTTAATATAAAAAAATGTCTATCGAACGCCAACTATCCTATATTGTAATTTATGTAAATCGTATGAAGATAGTCAAAGCTAATATTTCGATATGTGAAAATCGTACGTGTTATATGCAAGTGACATTTTTGCCGTTTGAATTGCGCATATGTTACTTCTCATACATATATAGACTAGTGTTCCACGTACGCTACACTGTACCATCTAAAATTCATAAATGAAAAAAAAATCTGGAGCGCGCCGTAGTAGCGTGTTAAATGAATTTATTAATTTCCCGCGGCATATTTAATTCGCATTTAATTCCCATCTAGCCGCGGGACATTTTTCCTTCTATGCTTTAACGAGCAGTGGCAGAAGGAGACTTGGTCGTAAAAGTGCCCGCGGGACTGTGGGCTCTATAGAGGGACTTATGTATTAGTTACTGCAGTGACTGTACCTGCTACTATATATATCCATCTCCCTCATCTTGGCAATAAATAATATTTATGGTTTAATGGCAAAACCGTTTTCCAGCAAAGTGTGTGTTACTCGCCGAAGGGACTTCCTTCGATTTCGACGGCCCGGTGGTGCCCTTCTTGGCGAACAACTGCTACGCCCCTGACGCGTGCCCCTCGACTGTTCCGACGATTTATCGGAAATACGGGACCGACTTGGTTCTTCTGAATTCAGTATCTTTTCTCATCGCTTTTTTCCCCAATTTTTTCGCTACGAGCTCAGTTAATAAATAACTTGTAAAAAAAAATTTCGACCTTTTTGGGGGTTCCCGGTCGATGATAAAAATCGATTTTTGAATTTTCGAAACTGGACCCCAACATCATCTGGCATTCGGGAAGTCTCGGGATGCAGCAGAGTGTCTGGCAGGGAGGAGAAGAAAAAAAACAGTGAAGCTTTCTTTCTGCGGGTATCCCCATCATCAGCCACCAGGAAGGCAGATGCACCGGCTGACGAACACCTGTCTTGCGCGTGCCAAGGATAACCGTACCTTACCTTACCTGAGAAGTTTGTGGAACAGGAAGCAGCCAGGCAGCGAACAGCAAGAGGGACTCAGAACGACAAAGGGGCGACCCAGGATAAGTGCCCCAAGGCGTGAACCAGCAGCTAGAAAATTGAATTAGATCTGACGTCCCACGGGAAAAGGTATTCCCGGTTAAATATTTGAAAAGCAGATTCGTGGCTATACGGTTTTGATGACGGAGAGAGGGGGTAGCGGAGGGTTGGAGGGGTGGTGGCTGCAGACTCGAGCCATAAACTCCTCCGGATAGAATTTGGTCGAGACTTGAGAAACACTGAGAAAATGCAGGTGACGCTTCTTTTTTTCCTTGGTCTTACTTCCAGTAGGATGAAAGAGGCCAGACCTATTTCCTTTGGTGTTGGAGGGAACGAGATGCTGCTAGATAAATTACATATTTACGTTATACCTGTCCTTTAAAATTAATTGGTAACGTTATGAGGATCCTTTATTTTTTTATTGCATTTCTTATGCAAATTATTACTTGCAGTACGAAGGATGCTCGGCAGAAGATCTTTATACGAAAGTTTGTCCATCCGCACATTTTTCATGAATATTCACAGAGTCTTCTGCAAAATGCAAAACAACCTTTGCCACGCTGTTACCCATAATACCCTGCGACGGTTTTCTGGTATTAACGCTTTTCGCCCATCGTGCATAAAAATTTTGAGTTTTCGAGATATCCATCTAGCTTTCCTTCCGGTCTGCCTGAACCTGCACGAGAATAATTTTTCAAAATCAGAATTCAATTGAAATCAACTACCGGTAACGTCAGGAATCGCTAGTCAAATTCGACCTTGTCAAATACTTTTAACCAGCACTGTACGCATGACAAAGGTCCAGTACCTTTTGACAAATAAAAATAAAAAATTGTACCAAGCACAATTAGTGCGCAAAAACTGTGATTACCCTCGGTATGAATTTTGCAAAAAATTGTACGGTCAAGCATAATAATAATAATAATAAATCTGACGAGTCTCCCCGCACGCAGTGATTCGTGCTGACTGGTACTGACCCCACAGGAACCGGGATGGATGAAATCGAGAACCGGAAGTGGTCATAGCCTCTATCTAGTTTGCCAGGATGGAATCAGAAGGCGACACTTTGTCAGGCAAAGGATACGAAGCGTAGCGTCCCATGAGAATATACAGTGGCCATTGTGCGTTACGTATATTCTTTAGACTTTGCAGCCTGGAATCTCTTGGTACCAACCTTGCGGTTGCGTAAGCACGTTGCTACGGATATACCCGTATGTCAATGACTCGTGTATCTTTTTCCTTTTATTACTCGAAGTCAGTGCTTATCCCAGCGTAACCAGTGTGGGACGATCGACTTGTACCCAGGTATTCTGTACTACCTGTAACACGTATAACAAATACGATATACCTACATACCGTATAGATATTAGATACGTAAAATTATACTGACAGTACGCAACCCTCGTTTTTTCACATACGCTGAAACGCGATACCTAAAATAAAAATATTTTTTTGCATAAGAAAGTAGTAAATGCTATAAAATTAATTAAAAATATTTTTCATAAATTACCACTATCTCTTATCAATCTTCTACCCAGTTCCATGGGTGTGACCAAAAAACGTATTGATTCATAAATATACAAATTCATTTATTTATATGAATTTTTTTTTTCGTGATTTTATATTTCACTTAATTTTTACGATTAACGTTTTTCTGATTACCTCAGAATCTATAATTCGGCAAATTTACCCCAATTATTTATGCAACCTCCAGATAGCAGCCCGTTGGATTTCAAGTGGTTGGTAAGCTTGGCTGGATAGCAGGTGAATAGCTGCGTGGATTGGGTGGGATTATTACCGGTCCCTTATGGCGAATTGGGTTGGAAACTGTGCATCGGTCGCTGTTTCCGTTTCCGGTGCTGTTGGTACCCGCCGTAATGACGCGGTAACCCTGTGATAAGCTTCTCTAGAGGGTTTCCTCGTTCTACTTTGGCCTCGTAAAACACCTGTGTGCTCAAGGAAACAACGTTAACTCTGTTTTATGAAGTTAGCGCCAAACGCCTTGGTCTACGTAGACGTATCCGTTATTTTCTTTTTACATTGACCTAATACAGGTATATCGAGGTTTAGGATCGTTAAAGACGATATAGATCGCTTTAATACACAGTCGCTGGACCATAGAGATGATAATTAGAAAATTCAAAATGGCCGTCGCACAACATTTTTTTACAATCCCAATGACTTTCGATAATTTTTAGTTTCTTCTAAGCTTTACTTGACTTTTGCTTTACCTTTCATATACTCTTAGGCAAATATCTATATAGATATATTTTTTAAGAAGGGTAGTTTTCAGGACTTTTTGTCTTGAGTATTGGCAGTTTTGAGGACACTTGGCGTTTATCAGGACGGGTCTGATAGCATTTAGATACGTAAGGTATACTGTCAGGACCATAAAGTGGCACTCACACCGAATTTTCCAAAAAAATTTCTATGCTACACACTCGCAGTTGTGATGGGCTAAGAAATGATTTCGTTAAGTTAGGTTAGGTTAGAATTTTAATACATGTCTCAAGGTTTAGTTTTTTTCTTTTTAAACGCATGGGCTTGCCATTGTGAGTGGCATGCGTCCTCATAACTACCCTTTGACAAGTTTATATATATATAGCTCGTATATCTTTCATCTCCTATAAGATAATATAGATCTATACATTGTATTATACGTGTAAATAATTCCAGCCACAAACAAGATGCTCCAGTCTGACATATCTGGTCACGACAGTCGTTAAACTCCCCTGTCGGTCCAGGACAAGATGCCTGCCCTGATGTTTGTGCTTGTTCATCATAAAAGGGCAGGTTAGATCGATACCAAATATCGAGTATCGATATCCCAGGTTGACGTACGATGGAATTTTAGTTGGCGCTAACGGCAGGTCGACAAGCTGATCCGATAGATCTTGTTTTAGGGCCTCGAGTTCACACCGAGCCTACACAACCGTCTTTATCGACCGATCCGATCTGAACGAGCAGATCGATACAATCGAGACTTGTCGATCACATCGGGAATCGATTATCGATAAGACGTAATCAATATGTTTAAAGACAAATTTAATTTTTTTTAATAACGTCGAGTAGAGAAAACTGGGTTGGGTTAGGTTACTGCTGTTACATAATTCAATGGTAAGATCTTAACGTCAGATGGGTCAAAGGTCACGGAGATCATTGACCCAAATCACCATATGATTATGACGTGTCCAATTTTCAAAATTTTAGGTTTTTTGTATCGACGCAAAAAAAATGTATTGTTGTCTTAATCTGTATATCTTGAAAGGGGGGGAGGTTTTTTTTATATTTATTCCTTGTGACGTCATGAAATTATCCGTGAGGTAGACAAGGACAGACTGTGACACATCGTGATCAATAAAAGGACACGTCATGGTGAAAGGATTCAATTATCGATCAGAGACAATTCTTGATCGAGATTTGTAAATATATATACATATATATATATGCTTGTCGATGTACTTGGAAAAAGTGGGTCGTACATTGTCGACCAATGACAGTGACAAGTACGGAGATAATTTTCAATTGTCTTCGATATTCCCGATCATTTAAAAAGACGTGACAAGAAATATTGAACGTGTAATTTTATTGTCTCGAATCCTATTGAAAAATTCGATATACGATGACATCGAGTACCATTGATGCAGATAAATAAATTTTGGTATGAAAATTATATTTTTTGAAAAAAATATTATTTTCTAAAACAGTTTTAAAAAGAACGAAAAATTTTCCTAAGAATAATTGACAATTGCATGAACTTGCTAAAATTGTGATTTTTCACTCCATTGTTATTCGCAAAAGTGATTTCGTACCTGCGATTATTAAAGCAATATAATGTATTGCGTACCGAGAATATCATACTGTCCGTTTATTACATTGACTTGGTACTCTTGGTAAAGGTGTATTTACATTTTTTTAATTAAACGTCCATTATCTAACTCGTGATTACATTCCTTTCAGAAATCCCCTTAATTTTCAACCCGAGCTAGCTTCTGACAAGTAACTTATATTTCGAGCTAGACTGTCCACGTATATACTCTCACGTTGAAAAATGAATTTTATAGAAAATTTTTTTTTTCAAAAATATTAAAAAAAAGTTTTATTTGTATCCTAAAAAAATATTGCGAGTTTTCCACGGCCACGTTATCTCGCACGACATACGTGATACATATTTTATCGTTTCCGCACTCTTATCACTTGCACGCTAAGGTATATATAGATATGATACGCGAACACACAATGGCTATACACTGTGCTCAAGAAAATTTACAATGCAACCGTAATTGTTGGTTGCTTAATCGATTTTCATGAATAATTATCTTTTTCCGTTAAACGTCAAATTGTCGATAGAACATAGTATATAAAAAGATAGTGTACGATTTTGAAATTTAAAGTTAACCTCAAAATCGAATTTTGATACTCGATACTCGAAAAGGGTCTGTTAATGATTAATAGGTAAAAAAAAATTATATTTATCAATAATAAATATGAATGGCACTGTGCTTATCTAGTGTGAAAATATTCTTTTAAATTTTCATAATACTCCAGACGCGATATTAAGCCTTTACGTGTTGGCCATTCCTGAACTGACTTTATATATATACATATAAAGTCATAGCCGTAAGTGGAAGTTCTCATGTGGCATACAAAATGCCAAACAACGAAACAGCATACTCGAGCAGTGTAATTTCGATGAGAACCGCCATGAGCATTAAGGACCAAGCATAAGTCTAAATATGCACACAGCCCATTGGCCACGTAAAATAGTATGAGAAAGTACGATATAGGTATATCTGTGTGTATAGGGTTTATCGCGATAAGCGGGATTTTAAAAGGGACAATTTTGATAAAAAAAATTTTGTATCGTTCAAGAAGAGATAATAGAAAAATATTTGGATAAAAAATTAAGTTATACTTTTTTTTTTTTTTTTTGAAAATTATGGATTTTCAGGATAATGCAATGGAACTACGTTGATCAACTGCTTGGTGTCCGGCTGTGTATTTGAATGGAGGAAGATGAGCGTGCGCAACCATTATCCATTATCCAGTATCCAGTGGGGTGAAAATGGGGCGAACCAACCCCGTCACTGCTGGACCCTACGAACCCATAATAAATACTGACCCCCCGTCGTAATTCTTAGCCGATACACACGATCGCTATTTCACGCATCGTGTCACGCACGTTACCGGAACGAAGGAACCTTTACTGCCCGTATGCAAAGTAACATAACGCACAAACAATCCGCTCGCTGTATCAGCCAGCCCTGACGTTTTGGTAGTTGTAAAACGTCAGGTCCAGTTCGCAATGACGGATTTGAATTGCTTTACGAGTGAGGCGAGCGCAACTTTTTTCGTTATAAAATTGGCAATGAAAAAATGCAGATAGTAATTTTTTTAATAAAACTAGAATTTGAGAGGCATCAGTTAATTTTCACCTCTGTCAAATTTTCATTATCACCAACGTGAATTTTTTTTTGCGAATTGAAGACTTTTTTTTTTGCGTGAGTTTTTGCGAATTGACAAAAATAATAATTGTGAGCTTGACTTGGGTGTTAAAAATTTTGAAAATTTTTTACCCATTGAAAATTTTTTACCCATTGAAAACTTTCCATATCATTTCGCAACGAGCATATATGCCAATGACCGTTAGAGTATGTTGGTATGAAAATTTTTGAATTTTTTTTTTAACCTGACATTTCGAAAATACATGAATTCTAATCGATCTTACGTGGAATTAAATAGTGCAATGCAAACAGTACGATTGCATCGAATTAATTGCTATTCAAATTGAATATAAACTGTGTCGGAAATTTATAGCGAGTGCGAATTTCATCCTTCTGCAAACCTACGGGAATTTAGAGCGGTTCGAGAGACCGACTTAGACGTGGAAACTATACCAGCGTAAAGATCCACAGATATATTTGCCTAATGCACGTGTGAATTAACCTTAAAATAACATCCCATACTACGTATAACTCTACGAAATCCATCTTTGAAGAATATTTTAAAAAATTTTAACAAGTTTCCATCGATAATCAAAATATTAATATAATTTATATAGATTCCAATCGACAAAATCAATATCCAATAATTATTTGAATCACCAATTTAATGCATATACCTGCACCTGGCTGATATTCCGTCAGAGTATTTAATGTCAAAGCATCGTGTAAGCGTATATGACCTAATAACAAATGCACCCACGTGCGTATAATGACAGTTGCTCCGTGACCCTCCCTATGACGTATATAAACTTTTCAGAGATGACCCATTGGTACATATGCAATTACGTGGGTAGGAATAATAATTACAGAATTGATCACACGTTATATGCCTATTAAACGAAAATTCATATATGTCAGACCAAACATGATTTACCTATAGAAACTCCGCGTGGATATATGTACAGCGTGAAAGAAAATTTTTAAATATCCAGTCTAGCCCGAGTCTTCTATTAATAGATCGTTGCCGAAATATTCAGCCACTAATTGCCAACTGCTAGACACAGCGTCTCAACATCCTGCCTCTATAAATAACCCCTTGTCGTTTTCCTGCATTATTAACTTATATATATCATATGAAAGACACACACGTGACGGCGGCATATCAGCCTGTCATATGTCAAAAAATTTTCTAATTAATCGTAGTTTTAATTATTGATAAGTTGATACGATGCCACCTTTAATTAAAAATGTTAAAACTTAAATTCTCTTTTCAACGAACCTTTGTACGTCTGTTACTTTCGTGTGAACGACTTGTATATGGAATCATTGTTTTTTTTTCTGTTTCAGATGACGAAAACGATAATGGGCTAGTGACGCAGAGAAAGTACGTACACCTTGTATAAAATGGACAATTTATTCCATTCTATAAAAAAAAAAAAAAAAAAAAAAAAAAAAAAAAAAAAATATTTATCCAGAAATACGTAAAAAATAACAGATACAACAGCTTTTATACAAGAAAGAGCGTAATTGATGAAGTAAATGAATCCGAATAATTGAATAAAAATGAAATCAAAATCAAATTACCAATTCATTCGTTACGCTATAGTCACCCGGTATATAAAAAAATATTGTGTCCTCCCTCTCATTTCAGTTCGCTTAATATTTGATAGTATCGCTAATTTGGGTCAATTAGACACGGCAGATCGTATGCGTGTATACGTATATATACATCTATATATGGATCAATTACCCTTGTCGAATTCCCCTTTAATTTTCCTCTTCCCTACCTCTTACTGTGTCTCTCGCTTCTTCGTCCTCCACTGACTCGAGGAATCTGGAGTGGACTAATTAAATTGAGTCGATTCAAATTTACCGCGTTTGACGCGGACTTTATTTGTTGGCACGATTGGGTCGCGTGGGACAACAAGACTGGTTATATTTATGAAAAAAAAAATGTTCAGCTCACTCAAAGTTTATTCGGGGGATATGAATATCCAAGAAAGGGGGTCTTGAGGGGAGCCAAAAAATTTAACACGAAATATAATATATGGGTGGTTCGATAGGATAGGGTATTTACGTGTGCGTATCGCAATAAGCCATACGATTAGTTTAAACCGCTTAGGGGGCTATGAGAAATACCATATCTCGAACCGTTCAATTTCAGGGCACCCTCACGTGTACGAAAACGCATGATTAAACCTTCCAGTAATTACCTGGTGTTATATACTCATTAACCCTGTCGCTAATTGAGTATAGAGACTTTGGGATATCAGCAGACGTAGGAGTTTTGGAATCTTTACCCCCACCACTTGTTGTCACAAGTCAATCTGTAATAATTCAAGAAATTTGTATGTCCATAAGAGTTTTAAGAGCGTCATAATAATCGTAATGCGCAGTGAAAATTAATTGGACGATGCGTGTGATAATTTATAAAGACTCAGCTGACATGGATGATTATCATGGTTAAATGTCGAGATCTGTGGTTGAGTTTGTTATTGAATAATATAAGGTAATTTTAAAGAGGCGTCTTCTTTACTCTTGTAGATTTGATCTTGCTGTCTCATAGAGTCGAGGATTCACAGCTAATGGGAACGACATAAATTGTAGTTCACAGGTCACGCGATTCGTCACGTAGCGTCGCTTGAATCTGTTGTATAATAATAGCTGGCGAACTTTATCCGGTGTATAACAAAAAAAAAGGGCAGCTCTGAATGGACAATCTGTATCGTTTGGATTTATCGTTTTGGCTGCGTCGTCACAAGAGACGGAACGGATTGCGTGAAATCACTTGGGCAAATCGTTACGACTGCAAACCAATTAAATTCTCTTGTATTTACCGTGGATTATGTTGGTTTTGTCCCGTCAATAATTTCTTCTGTCATAATTTAAAGATCTTTTACTCGTAGTTTGGCAGTTGAAAAAGAAAGCTAAAAAGGTAATGTTAGGTAATGGATTTTAGATTTTTATTTACAAACCTGTTTAATGTGTTCGGCAAGATTTCGAATTCGGGTTGTGTGTGTATTCCAAAAAATTTCGTATACGTTAATCTTATCTTGTTGGATCTTTTCTCTTGTACCTTCAAGGTCCGACGATCTTGTAACGGACGAAAGGAATAATCTGTGAATTCCCGTTATTACGGCACATCGTCACGCTTCGCGCTTGTACGATTCTTAAAAGAATTAACTGCGTAATGTTTCTGAAAGTGTCAAAAAAAAGCATCAAAACATTTTTATTACATCCCACAGAATGCCGTCGATACAAATGAATGTTATAAAGGAATAAAGAATGAAAAATCTTCCACTGTTGTTATAAGAATGAAAATAAAATTACATAACCTCGAAATGTATTTTTGTTTTCTCTTAATCAGCATTGAATACATTATTGAGATCGCCAATAAAAATAAGAGCCGCGCAAGTTTTTATAAGAGAAAAATAACAGTTAATTAATGTCACTCCGAAAGAATCATAAAAGCAGTGCACGTGTGGACACAAAAAAAAAATGATTTATTTCACCGGACTTTTTCAATTTAAAAATATTATCCACTCGTAACTCGCAAGTGCGCGATTAGTTTCTCGACGATTTCTTATAGAATTTTATATAGAGCCAATAGTTACCGTCGAATTGCCACGCTGTTATTGATTTCTATATGAAAACTTCCTTGGAAGTCTGAGTACAGTATAAGGAAGTGCATTACGGCGAGTTTCGATGAAAGATCAGTGGCAATTGAAGGCCATTTTACGATTACTGAATCGTATTTTCATCTCGAGTACAGGCAGGCGTGTAACGCACGTTAAAGGTCCAACGATCCGAAGTATTGTAGAAAGAAAAGGGTACGCTTGCCTAACTGCTTAAACAGTCTTAAGCAGTTAACCTTATCACGCAGCATTTCTTTTTAACAATCACGGAAATACTTTAGTTTCAATTAACTTTAGCTACACGCAACACTCCTAGCAGATTGCTTTGTGCTTATCAACCTGCAGTATGCATTTCTCTGCAACGTTATCACAATCTTTTTTCCCATTACTTCCTTCACTTATAGCAAAACACTCAAGCACGGAACCAGTAATCTCGAAAACGACGTATAAAGTAAAGTTAAACATTAAAAGTCATTGCGAACTCAAAAAAATTCGTTCTCGCTCGTCACGAATCGATCCGACTGTAACATTCGAATTCCATTAATTATCTGTCGAGAATTACTCTTCGAGGATCAATTATCACAAATAACGTTTCTCACGGTGTAATCGCGAGTCTTTAAACGCTATTTATTAAACACAAAGCAACAATAACACGACAATGCTTTCCAACAAAGCACGCGACTTTTTTAACTTCTCAAATGGACGCGCGATACTACCGCCAACTAGCGGGCCGTCTTTAAGTTAGGCTATAAGATGCGCATCCGGTGAGATACGATCGGACACGGAATTGAACGAACGAGCCAATGAGAGTCGAGCCAGTGAGAAGCAGTTAGCCAGACGTCCAACCAGCCAGCTGTCTCTCGTCAGTATCGGGCGAACCGTCGCGAGGACAGGAGCTCGTGTTAAAAGTTTGATTCAACTGATCTTCACGTGATGCGCGCTGTATTATGTTTACCAGTTAACAAACTCCGTATACCAGTTGGAATATCCGTGACGAATAAATAAATGCTCATATTTCTGTGAGCAGTGAATGTGCGTGTAAATTTCGTAAAATGCAGTGACGGCAGTGCGCATGCGCCATTTTCAAATACTCGGAAAAACTCAAAGGCTCAAACGACTATTTGTACACACGTAGAACCTTGCGCGTGCTTGCGCAATTTTCATCGATCTTATTCTTCTTAAATTCGCAATGCAATTATTGCCAATCGACATACCTTGCTGGAAGTGCAATCAACGAAGAGATATAATTAACGATGTACATCTGGACGGAATATCCTCAGTGTTAAATATTTAATACCTGTACTCAAATTTTCAAATAAACCTCCCAGTGTGAAGTTTAAGTGAATTTTTTCGATACTGTTTCGCTTATTACCACGATAACGGATTACTTGGAATATCGGATAATTCATCTCCGTCTACTCGGAAGACCAGTAAGTCAATTATCGTCACTGTCTATTTTTTCCTTTGAAATATTAAACTCGTATATTCACGGCTGACGACACGTTCATCAGTATCCTCACTGCATTTTCTAGTTTCTTGAAAGACTCGTGCTGTCGCGGTCCAACCAAAACCTAATTGCCGTATCAAGAGTCAATTAATTGTCTGCGGTGGGGATGCGTGGGATCTTTCTCACAGTTAATTAACCACTGATAACGCGATACAATTGCTTACAAAATTCTGCTTACAAATATTCAACCAACTTATTCACTTACAAGCGCGTAAAGATCCTGCAGAACCGATACCAAATATTATCATTATTTTATCAAGGGACATTTCACTGACAACGACAGCTGGTTCGAATACCTGCGTTTACTTTGACTGACAGATACCAAGAGAAATTCTTCCCGACGTAAATTTTACATCGTGCACGTCCCGTTATTCTCTCATGTAACTGACGAATTATCAATTGTTACTACGCTAATGATTTATCCATCGACACTTGACACGACGGCGAACCAGAGTCAAATTTCGTTAATTTACATATGTGCGTCTGTTCTCCTTGGACTTTGATCAAACCGACTATAGCTCACGTTTGATAAAGCATATACAGTGACATGTATTTAACGGAGTTTTCATAAATTTAATTTATCCTAATAGATATATATATACATACGCATACAGTGAATTGCTATCGCAAATATAAAAATGATTGCAGCGACTCTATTTTCGTAGTTGACGCAACCCGATGATGCTCATTGCGCGTAACTGCGAAGTATCCAATGTCAATCGAATACAATAAACAATGACCTTTTCTTTCACGGAATGCAAATGGCAATTTTTTTTCTTGCTCCGTATTGCACAAGGTGTCCGTAGCGTTAGGTATAGTCGAGTTGAGTGCTTTGACCATTTTTAACAGTCAAATGCAAAAGCCATTCGTTCTAATGTAATTCTGACGTTATCATTTGTGCCGAATGAATCATTGAACCGTCAGTGACGACAATCAAACGGGGTAGAACGAACGTCCATTAGTCACAACGAGGCGTACTTGAAACTTTACTCGTGATACGAGGCTCTTGACGTGCATGGATCATCTTGTGAACATTCCTTAAGGTGGTTCACAACTGCCGATGAACTCAGCTAGGAGCGACGAAGACAGTACGCATGGCTACTATATAATGAATATATTTGAAATCGATTGGCTGACATGATTGTTTATCGATATCCAATCAATTTGTGTTCACGTGCCTCTCTTGACTCGGGTATCCCTCGTTATGCTATTTATGCTTGGAATCCTGTCTTTCCTAAATTCTAGATAGCATATGTGTGTGTATATATATATTGTATAATATATATATTGGATATCGGATTCCTTGGTGGATTCTGGAATTTGCGACATTTCGACCGAAAATGTCGACATACACAGTGAAATAAATTTTTTTTTTACTAATTCAGTAATCGTTGACGTTCATTCGAATTTTTATGGTTAATACGTAAATGGAAAGATAAATAAACATTTTAAAACTGGGTATAAAGATAATGATTAGGCCTCTTTGGTTTTTATGGAAATACAGTGCTAATCGATTGAATAATTATTTTTGTATGTCAATGATCATTGAGGCTTTGCTACGAAAAATAATAATAATAATGACAAACATTTTTGTAACGATGTAATTTTTATTTTCCAAATTTGATTTTATTTGAAATTGTCTTTTTTTCGGTCCCTATTGACAGTGCCAAAGAAAAAGGTAAATTTTGATTAAAGCAAACATTTGGACGTAAACTCGATAAATACGGAGATACCAAGAAGACGGGTTTTCACGAAAATAGCCGGTACCAAGGAATCGTGGTAGCCCATGCCGTGGAGACACGTGTTGGGAAAACACGAAGGGTCATACGCATGGCAGCCTTCAAGCTGGTAGCGATGCACGCGTGGCACGCGCGACCACGAGTAAGAAAGCAGAGGAACGTGAACCGAGCGATAAAATGCCGGCGAGCGAAGAAAGCGATCGTGGAGCAAGCAACGCGGAGGGACATGGCGAAGAATTATTTTTAAACGTCGCGACAAAATCATTCGTGGAAGTGGAAGTGGAATCCAGAAGAACGTAAAGTCGTTATAACTATGTATATATGCGTCTTTACGCATATCAGCTCGTTAACGATCTTCCGCCTGGTATCGTTGGTGGGTGATAGAAATACCGAGAAAAGAATTATATGAAAAATTTTATTTTTTACTATTAAACGTATTGAAGAAAAGTTTCGTATTAAGAGCATTGAAAAAATTTTTTTATTCCATAATTTTTATTCTATTTGATCCGCAGCGAACGCTGCGAATACGGCTTTTACGCTTTTCGACGGGCGGAAGTCGGAAGGCGATCTGATCTCGTAGAGTCTGACGGAGCCACGCCTTGATTGCGATTACTCGCATTTGTTTTCGCAATTTTCCACAGGCACGTGACACGGGTAATTTATGATTTGCTATTATAATATATATACCTTAGGATTTCCTTAATGGATTTCGTTTGGTTCTACTGTTACGAATCGATCGGTGGCGCTTTTGGGAATTATCTTACGCTCGGGATGCATCCATAATGCATTGCGAGCGCATCGGGTTAGTTGGGTTTACAGCCGCCGAAGGCGCTGGGTGTTTACGTAGCTTCGTAGTTTTGTTAGTACGAGGTTGTATGATGTAAAATCACGGAAAGTTGTTTTAAGATGGAAAATCGTTGGTTTGCTT